CGGCACGCGGAGCGCCGTTGGATGTGGGGAACAGAAAGACAGAAGTATCCAGGACTAGCACTTCGAACCATGAGGGGGGAGGGGGAGATGGAAGGTAACAAATGGATGAAGATGGGTCGGTTGTGATAGGGATGGAAGAATAACTTTTATGTCTGCGTTCAAAAAGTTTGCGGTGGTTAACTGCTAAATGCAACGGCAGGGAACGTGATGTCGTGATTATCTCCTACTCATCTAACAGCGGTTCGGTTGGGGGATTCAGAAAGAAGGGCCGCGCAGTCGGGCCTTTGCATGGCGTAGAATGCTGCTCGAAGATCACTGAGAGACGTGGGCAGACGTTCGGCGTTCGCGGCCTCCCACAGGGTCAAAATCATTTCAGTTGGATGTGGTAGTGTTCCGAAGTACGGCACAAGACTAAAATAATAAAAAGATGAGGAAATTGATGCACGTGACACATCAACGCACCGGTACTCACTTAAAGGTAATATTGTGTGAATATTAGACATTTAAATATCACTTTCACTCACATATGCAGCCTTCAACCCACCAGCAGAATTTTCGCGTTGGAAACAATGGGAAGTCGATATCTTATTTAATTAAACGTGTGTTTATATATTTCCCACCGATCGTCTGCAAATCTGAATACTCGTCAAGCCACCTTTCGAACCAAACAACTAAATGTGATAGGAAGAGCCAGTTATTTGAGCTGGTCAAGTGATAAAACCAGAAATGTCCGAAAATGCATTTGAATCGGCATCTCAACTTTTTATTTTCTATCCACTTACAGCCACAGAGAATATCCGTGATATAATTTTACGCCGTAAAATGAAACCGATGCCTATCCAACGCCTTTTTGCAAAGGTCAGTTATCTTCAGGAAGGGTTTTAGACTACATTTAGTTGTCCGCCACAATGTAAGCAAGCATAAACCTGGAAATATTCCCACCGGACACATTTCCGAACCAGAAGGATACTGATAACGCTTAGTCGGTCGCCAAAATGACAGTTCGATGGTCACCAACGAAGACGTTCACCGCGCGATCCGCAGCGCGGTGGATGCGGCACCGGTAACTCGCACGGAGATTGGCTTATTGTGAAGCAGACTTGGGCGGGAGGTACCAGTTCTCAATCCCCTCACTTACCTTGCTCCAATAGCAGGATAAAATCAAGATGGCCGTAGGTGAACGCCAGGCAGTGACTCACAAATTTAGATGACCCGTCTACGCGTGCCACACACGGCCTGGTCCCATGTGGGCGTCTTGGTATTAACACGAATGAGAATGCCATATAGCTACATTGAGAAGGGACACTTGCAACCTGGCTCGCAGTCCTTTAGGCAGGCTACTACACTCCTTATGAGGACCGAGTTATGCCGTCAGTTACCAATCTTCGAAGACACAGGCTTCAATAAGCCGAAAGTCACATAGGTGAAAGTTGTTAGAAGCCCAAATTAAGAAGGAAACGTTAAAAAAGCTCTCGGACAAGTGAACGGATTTATTCTGTCATACAGTTATCTTGCTGACTAATACTTCTGGGCATCGCGACAGCTCAAAAGCCAAACAGATGCACTCTAGTAAGCAGATTTCGTCCGACGGCCTTAGCCAGACACTTGCTTTAACTTGTGATAAATGAAAGTCAAGCAGACCGGGGATTAGGTTTAGAATAGTGGTTGACGTGGTATAAAACCTGTATCCCACGTTTGGTGCAGATAAACCTGGCCAGGGCACTGCCCGTATTATTAACCCAGAGGGCCAAACTGCGGTGGCGTTCAACTTCTGAGCATATTGCCCTCTTGACTGTGGGGAATGTGGAGACAAAGATGAAC